ATGACCAACAATCCAGACACAAAACAATATGCTTTGTCCCTCTAAAAATGAAGGGGACAGTGAAGAAAGGAAAGAAAGAATACTAACAAGACTACTTTCTGCCATAGTTCTATCTCCTACCCAAGGTAACATCCCAGGAAATAAAGATGATGTTCCATGAATACTTAGTTTGGTCCCTCATCCACAACATCACCAAGGATACCTATCTGTCTGGATCGATACCATTTCTACTCGCAGTCTGGTATCCTCTTTTGTAGAAAATATCTCTTTGCGTCAAACTAAAAAAGAAAGAAGAGTGATTCACAGCTTCATTTAGAAGGAAAAAATGTAATGTAATGAAAGGGCAGAAATTACCTACAAGTAACTTACCAGTAGTGTCATGGAAGAGTCCATGCTTCAAAGAGGAGTTGATAGGCAAATGAAAACTCACTACATCCCATAGTGATAGTCCAATACATGTAAATGTACAAAGCAATTTAGGCAGCAAAGGTATTACTAGCTGGAAAGACCAGGAGTAGAAAACAAAGCCACAATTGTGTCATCCAGGATATACAACTGAAAGTAACATCAAAATCAGTGCCGAACTAGAGAAGAAATAAAGGTACTCTTAATATGTGACCAATGGAACTAGATTCAGAACGAATACTTTTTTAGAAAGGCAGATAAGTTTTGTTTATGATAAAGTCTGATAGAAAATATTACTACTAGTGAAAGTTATTTTTTCTTCACTTGAGTAGAGCTATGATCTATGTATCTATATTATCAGTAACAAAGAAACATAAATAGAAAAACATGAGACCCACATGTGACACTAATCTAAATGGGTACACCACTCATTTTGTTCCCAAAGGAAAATTATAAGTAAAAAAAAGTATCTTAGAGGAAAAAGAATTTACCATGGCATTAACTGAAAGGTTAAAGGGGTGGGGGAAGGAGAAGACTCATTTTTTTGTTCATCTAGACCCAAAGTAAGAGGTAACTAATTACTGAAATTATTAAATAGCAACCGCAATTTTGTTTGGATAAATGTTTTCACATCTGTAAGCAAATCGAATACAGTCTCAAAAGTTTGTTTGATCAAATGATTTTTGCTCTATACCTCAACCTTAATGAATTATACAATTACAAAAAGAAAAAGATTTGGAACTTGCACCTGAATGCATCTGTTATAAAAAAAACTTTAAGGAAGAAGAAAAAAAAAAACCTCTCTTGATTCATCAGTGTCTGCCTGTTTTTTAAACCCAGGAAATTCCTTTACACCCCCTCCTGGTTCTGGTCAGCCAAAACTGTAGGTGTACTAGTCTAGTCATTCCTTTACCAGTAATATACTATGCTAACACTATTTACATTTATAGCTGATTTCTGTTGGACTATTCCAAGTTCTAAACTCATTTGTTCAGAGTGGAATTTACAAATTAATTAAACACTACACTGTCATTCTCTCCATTCAAACTTTTGGTGGTGCAGCCACTATGTAAAACAGTATGGCGGTTCCTAAAAAAATTAAAAATAGAAATACCATATGATTCAACAATTCTACTTCTGGGTATATACCCCAAAGAATAAAAACAGGGACTTAAAGAGATATTTGTACATCCATGTACAGCATTAATGATTCATGATAGCCAAAACATAGGGAAAAAGTGTCCATTGTCAGATGAACAGATCAACAAAATATGGTAAATACATAAAATGAAATATTATTCAGCCTTAAAAAGGAAGGAAATTCTGACACATGCTACAAAATTGGGGCCATTATTCTAACTGAAATAAGCCAGTCACAAAAGAACACATACTGTATGATTCCACTTATTAGAGGTACCTAGAGCATTCACATTCACAGAGAAAGAATGGTGGTTGCCAGGGGCTGGGGAGAAGGAAGAATGGGAAGTTACTGTTTAATGGGTAGAGAGTTACAGTTTTGCAAGATAAAAAGAGTTCTGAAGATGGCTGGTGGTGATGACTGCACAACAATGTGAATGTACTTAATGTCACTGAACTGGACACGTACTGATAAAAATGGTTAAGATGGCACATTTTATGTTATTGTGTATTTCACCACAATTTAAATTTTTTTCCTACTGGCAGCTGTTCTTACTTGGGGGAAAAAATCTTTTAGAGGACAATTTGGAATATATTTGCTTTGTAATTAGTTCACTCACCTACAAAGTCTCAAATCTATCCCATTAAGTCTGAGCTGAACTCTTCCATCCACTACTTATCTCATTACAAGAAACCAGGCAATTTATTTTTTAAATTATAGCTCAAGACTTGGAATGTAGATGCTTGGATGATACTGGCTTCTTCTATAACTGGTCAAATCAATTTCCCTACCCAAAAGTGAAAATAGTAAAATTATGTTCTATTTACCTCATATGATTGTTAGCCACTCCGCCACTGATTTCAACAGAAGTCCTTTGTTTATTGAGTGGAAATAGAGAATACAAAATCCTTCTCAAAAACTTTCCCATATTTAGACATTGTATTTTCCAGCAATAATCAAAATCTTAAACTTATTTATTTTTAAAATCTAGTCACATTTAAAAATCATGTCCCTTTCTACAAGAGCAGCACTGAGCTCTCAAAACTATTATTAATTTTCACAATCATATGAAGTAAACAACATAATTTTACTATGCTCACTTTTGGCTGGGGAAATTGATTTGCCCAGTTATAGAAGAAGCCAGTATCATCCAAGCATCTACATTCCAAGTCTTGAGCTATAATTTTCAAAATAAATTGCCTGGTTTCTGATAACTGGATAAATGCTAATTTTTTAAAGTCAATTCTACAAAACTTTTACATAATATTTTTTAAAAGTAAGAAAAATCCTTTTTTTAAATTTTTATTTCATATTGGAGTATAGTTGAGTTACAATGTTGTGCTAGTTTCAGGTGTACAGCAAAGTGAAGAATAATCCATTTTAAAACCAAGTCCACAAGAATAAACTCATCTGGAATCATCATTTGTAAGAGGAATACAAGGTTCCTAAAGTACACAAAAGGCTAACGTGCTTGTGCATAGTTTTCTAAATAACTTTTATTCTACCAGTAATGTTCTCCTGCCTATTTGACAATATGCAATTAACTCTCACCATTTGGAAAACAATTGTTCGCTGCAGATGTCATAAGCTTTTTCCAATTTGTAAACAATTGTTCACAGCATTGCTATTGGTTTGAAGAAAAAAACTTATTAGAATGTTTTCATGCAATCAAAATAAAATCCCAAATGCTTGTCAGAAAATCTTACTTTGCCTCTGAATGCAGGAATCCTAAATTTCCAGACTGGCCGATAAAGCTAAGCATAATAATGGTCACAAATAGGAACTTCCCCAGCAGTCCAGCGGTTAAGACTCCGCGCTTCCACTGCAGGGGGCACGGGTTGGATCCCAGGTCGGGGATCTAAGATCCCATATGACACGCAGCATGGCCAAAAAATAATAATAATAATAATTGTCACAAATAATAAGAAAACCAACAGCTACAAGTTACTAGAGGAAGTCAAAAGTTTGGTAAATCAAAACAAAGTTACAGTTACCTTAAAGCTTCTAATGAGGTAAACTATACTTTTTGTTGCTTAAAGCCATTCCTACTAGAGCAGAACAATTTTACAAAAGGATAAAATCATTCCTAGACATATAGAGTCCTTTATCACACAACTACATTCCACATTAGATAAAAGACTAACTTGAAGAATGAAAAAAAAGGTGAAAGAATTAGGCAGAAAATCTCAGGCCAATCCTAATCCTACAAAGCACCAAATTCTTGTGGTCAACTTTTATTTTCAGAACTTCCTTCTGTTTGAGTTTGAAAGTTACAGTATAATCAAATGCAGATATATGCATATTCCTAATGTAGCAGATATGACTTGAATAATTAAATGAGCAAACTCTGGAAATGGCCATCAGAATATTTAGTTGTAAAAATAAGTAACTTTAAAAATTAGAGAAAGAAAAAAGCCCAACAAAATATCAGTAAGGAAAAATATTGCCTACTATGCTAGCGTTAGACCATGTGCAATGACGGCAGTGTTAAAGGAGGGAAACGTCTGCCTATACAGAACTATAGCTTCTAAGTTAATGCCAAAATAAATGGTTAAAAATATCTCACTACAATATTTTCTTCCAACATCAAAAGGCAAAAGTGGTGTTTACAGGGTATTAGTTCTAACTCCAACTCTTTCATGAAGCATACAGCTCTACTTTCAAAGGTCCTCCCTAAAATACTTATATGCCAGTGTCACTACAGTTGAGTCAGTAAGAAATAATCTTTGCTCATCCTTAAAATTTCTCCTGGAGAAAGGACACCAACCAAGTAGTTCAAATCTGTAGAGGAAGGGAATCCACAAATATGAATTGGTAATTTATTAAGCTTGTGAACTCACTGCAAAGATACATTGATATATACAGTCTATTTGCCTCCTCCTCTTCCTACACCCCAAAGACTCCAATAAGGCATCAGTCTCAAATGTTTATTTCTCCCTCAAAACCAGCACAATGTCCCGCTACCCTCACCACCTCCTCACCATCATTCTTTTTTACTCTCCCCTTAATACACCACACCCACACTCCATACAGCACACCCTCCTCACAAACCCAAAACTCCTCACCAAAGCACCTCATACTTAAAAGCCCCACACTTATCCTCGAATTCTACACACTACCTATAATACAGGAAACAATACAATCCACGCACAAAACAACCCGACAGAACACCCACTCACTCGACAAACACCATTCAAGCCGTACATAAGCCATTCTACACACCCCCAACATAACATAGTCCCCCACAGTTCACAACACACACACACACCCACACACACACACACACACACACCACACTCACACACCACACTCACACACACCTCATGTCAGGTACCGTATAAAAACTCAAACCACACAGCACTGCAGTGCTCAAACAAACGCTGGGAAGAGGCCACCCTTTGGGCACCAGGAACCCACGAGGTTGGAGGTGAAAGGGTAACTGGGCCCGATACTTCACCTGAAAATCTGCCAGGATCATCTCTCGGTCCATGTTGGACGCCATGGCGGCTGCCGAGTTCCGCGGCTCCGGGAGCGAAGCGCGCACCCGGGCGGGAGACTGCGCCTCCTGCGGCCGTCTCCGCCGCCGCCGCCGTCGCCGCCGGGCGCCGAGGGGCTGGCGGGCGAGCCGGCGGGCGGGCCGGCGGGCCGGCGGGCGGGGCAGCGCGGGAGGCTAAGCGCTCATGCACTCGGTAACCTTCAGGCGCCTGGGCCGCTTGCCTGCGCCCCGCGGAGCCCGAGCCGCCTCAACAGGGAGGTTGGTAGGGATGTGGGTTCGGTCTTACGGTCGCCGGCCAGGATGAGGGCTGGTTGCGACAGCGCGCAGCCGGCTCCCTTCAACGGCGACAAGACCGGCGGGGGCGGGGAAAGCGAGCGAAAAAGCAGGCGGGCGAACGCCACGGCCGCCTCCGCCTCCTCCGCTTCCTCCCTGGCCGCCGCCTCCGCCCCTGGTTGGCCAGCGCCGAAGCTGTCGCACATTTTGCCTGTCATCGAGGTCGCAAAGCACCGCTTTGCGGCTACCACGTGACTGCCCTCCTGTCAGGCGCTGGGCGCGCGACTACCGGGCGGAGATCTGCGCGCCGCCGGCGGGGACGCCAATCTGCAACTGCGGCAGCTTGGAGTCCCGCAACAGGTTATTCCGGTTTGAATTAAGCAAAGGCCTCGGGGTACCGCCTCCCCGTGGCTAGGGCGGGGATTAGATTCTGCTCCTTACGTGGTTATATAGTAACACACATACACGTCAAGCCTCACAAACCAACTCAGCACACCGTCACATCCCGTCTAATAAACAACATTTCATAAATGTACATTTTCTCTGTTTCACCAAAATACAACTTCACATAGTCTTTTATGCTCAACTTGTCAAAGCCCACTTGCACACTGTCACACTCGATCCCAAGCCCTGACGCTTGCATCCTCAGACATTCGGTAACAAGGAATGGCAAGCAACCAGATTCCCACGGTAGTCATGGGGCAGACATGGAAGCTGAGAAAGGTGAGAATATCGATCTCGAGAAAAAGATGATCAGGCTTTGAGCCAAGAATAGTCGAAGACTATGTACAGTGAAGTGTGATAGTTTGTCATTCCCGCTGGAGGAAGAGTGACAGTAGAATATGTTCAACTTTGACTTGGGAAAATATCATCTTCTGGACTGAAATAGAGCATGAACTTGCGGTGGAAAGTATGTAAAATCCTGAAAGTGTGAAGTAAGTTTGCTGATTTTGTGCTGTACAGTTAAAACAGAAACTAGTGAAATCACCATATAGAATCTTTGTATTCCCTGAACAAAAAGAGCACTATGGTGTTCTAAAGATCTAGGTTTATTCTGCTTTTTTTTCTCTAGACGAAAATATTCTGGCCTACAACTCACATGTAATAGTCTGTATTTAGACCAGAATGAGGTAGATAAGGAACAGAACCATACATAGTCACACGAATTGAAGGGTTTCTTGGTTAATTGCCACCCCCAAGGAAGTAATTCCAAAATATAGCACGAATATGAATTAAGAGGTAAAACAGAGTACCAGCAATTTAAGTGTGGCAATTCACTTGCCCCATTCATATATGTCATTCTCAGCACAAGGCAGGTGAATGATTGTCTCTAGTTACATGGCCAGGATTAATGCAGCCCTGCAAAGTTGAGATTTTTCTCTGTGATGACATGTGTGTATATCTCGGAGCCCATTCAAATCCAGTACTGCTTCCCTTCTCCCTCCCTCCTCTCCATCTGGAAATTAAAAGAATGTGGTAATACAGAAAGAGGGGGAGAATACACTAGACATTCAGGCATATGGTTTCTAGTACTGCTTTCCCAACTAATTAGCTGGGGGAACTTGGATGGGTCACTTAGACTCTTGACTTCAGCTTCTGACATGACTATTTCAGGTGATGAGAAAACAATTATGAAAATGCATGGAAGCATAAAATATTTTTACAAAACAAGCATAGATTTCATAGTCAGCATTACTAGGCTTGAGTTCTAGTTCTGCCACTTGACAAAAACAGACAAGAAACTTCTCTGACTCTAGATTTCTTTACTTCTAAAATGGGGCTTATAAAACTTATTTCACAGAGTGATTGTGATTATTGAGTGATACAATGCTTGTGAAAACTTTTCAAAACCTTAAACCATATTAGTTGCTATTACTTTGTATACCAGTTCCTAAATGCTTTTCTCAGGATCACCTCTTTCATAATATTTAAGCCAACAAGGATTCTTCTCCTTTCTAATCACTGCTGTACTATCTTTACAACACAGTTTAATACTCTGATAAATTCTGCAATTTTTTTCTCTAATTGTTTCATCTCTGCATGTTTTAATCTCTCCTCAAAGGTTGTAAGTTCTTTGAGATTATCAGCCATTTCATTTTATGTGTTTTTATATTCACAATAGTTCATAAATAGCAAACTCTTGGGTACATAACAACCAATGCCTTTGAATTTATTTTTATTGGATGTCTAGTAGGTACAGGTACTTCACACACCTTATCTCATTTAATTTTTACAACAACCATTTTACAGAATAAAAAACTGCTCTGATAGGCTAAGAATTTGCCCAAAGTCATGCTATACAGGGACAGACCTAGTATTCAAGGCTAGGTCAAAACTAGTGCTCTTTCCACTCACCCTGTTGCCTCCCTGCATTTTACCCTCCATAGTGTATAATTCCTGAAGAGACTGATTCTTCCCTATGATGTAACTATTCATGGTTGGATACCCAGAATCCAGAGTAACTTTCCACTACAGAGAAAGAAATGAAAGAAAAATAAATACTGAATTAAGAGAAAATTCGGGACTTCCCTGGCTGTCCAGTGATTAAGAATCTGCCTTCCAATGCAGGGGACGCAGGTTTGATCCCTGGTTGGGGAGCTAAGATCCCACATGCCTTGTGGCCAAAACACCAAAACATAAAACAGAAGCAGTATTTTAAGAAATTCAATAACGACTTTAAAAGTGGTCCACATCAAAAACATCTTTTAAAAAAAAGAGAAAATTCATTTCCCCAGAATTCCTTCCTTAAAGGAAACAATTTCATTCCAGTGTCAAAAACTGAGAGAATAAAAATATAGAGATTCTCTGTCCATAAGCATGAGCAAAGAAAAATAATTTTAACCTATCCATTCTCATAGTTGTTTTACTGCATTAACTCATGGAGCTCAGTCTAATTCAAATATAGATCTTTTTCTAGAATCTCCATGTTCTTTGATCTTACCATTCTTCTTTTAAAAGGAATTTTATTTCATATTTTTTCAAATATATATAATAAAGTTTACTTTTAGTTATTTTGCTAAATTTTTATTTGAAATAATTTTAGATTTATATAATAGTTGCAAACATAGTACAGAATGCTCCTATTTACCTTTTTCCAGCTTCCTCTGTTACCATCTTGCATGACCATGGTACTGATATCAAAACTAAGAAATTAACACTGGCATTAATACTATTAATTATGTTCTAGAGACTATTTGGATTTTTATATTAATGTACTTTTTCTGTTCCAGGGTCCAAAGCAGCATACCACATTACATTTAGTGGTCATGTTTCCTTAGCCTCTTCCAATCTGTTACCATTGCTCGGTCTTGACTTTTGAAGACTAATGGTCAGGAACTTTATAGAATGTCTCTCAGTTTGGGTTTGTCTAATGTTTTCTCAGAATTATGCTGAGTTTATGGATTCAGGGGAAGGATTCCACAAAGGTGATGTGTCCTCATCACATCATATCAGGGACACATGATATCAACATGACTCATTATTGGGGGTGTTAACCTTGATCCCTTAAGTTAATCAAGCTTTTTAACAATGCTACTCAATTACAATCTAATTCCTGAGAAGATTAATGCTACTACAGTTAGATCCACACTTAAGTAACCCAAAATATATTTCATATAATGATTTAATGTTTGTTAGGACACTAGTGCCTGATCCTGGACTCTTTTTTTTTTTTTTAGTTTATGGTTACAATTTATTACAGGAAAAGGGGAAAGGATACAGGCCAAAACCAGCCAATGGAAGAAGCACATAGGGAAAAGTCTGGGAGAGTTCCAAACCCAAAGCTTCCAGTGAACTGGACTCTTATGTAATGGAAAAGGCCTAACACCTGGGGATGGATTCTGAGTTCAAATTCCTATATCCACTACTTATTGGCCTTAGTCACATTCTCTATAAGCCTCAATTCCTTCACCTGAAAAATGGGGATAGTTATCATATTTACGTCCCAGAGTTGTAAAGATTAAATAATGTGTGCATGATGTTATAACCAGGAAAAACTATATAAGTATTAATTGTTGCTATTATGTTTAAACTTTTGAGTTGCTTACTGGGCATTTTTTTTCTTACTTTACAAAAAGACTTTTCATAAGTGGTGTGAGAACCCATATGAAAAAGCCTGCTGAATTTCAGAAATAAAATGCCAAAGCCACAATAATGAAATGATAAAAAGGCCCCTTGAGGGTACCAGTCTGTTTTCTACCTCTCTTGGATCTATAAATATAACAAAAGGAAGACTTTGGGACTATGTAAAGAAATTGTAAATACCATATACACATATCCGTAAGTTAATCATTCTGAAACTATGCATACTTAAGTCAATGAGGGAAAAAGCACAAAATAATTTGACTGTAGTATTTCTATAAAGCCTTTAAAATGAGCATAAACTGCTGAAAAAATTTCCATGACTGTTAGTATTTTATATCCAACTAAAAGGCTCTATTTCAGTGTTTGAGAGAGATATCATTACTGTGTTAAAAGACAAACTACTACTTTCAAAATAACAGATGCTTAACTGTCAATCTTTTTTGTACACCATGTTAGAATGTAAGCTTATTGAGGGCAAAGATACTCACCTTTGACTTCAGTGAACTAGCCCTCAATATGAGATTTTCATTGCAGGTCTTTTGTAGTGCTTACTTACGCTTTCTGAACTAAGATTGTAATCTCTATGCAGTCAGTTCTGGGTTATACAATAAGCAAACGAAGTATATGCTTCAGGACACCAGCTAAGCCAGAGTAAAAAACAAACAAACTTTCTTAAAGAATTTAATATTTCAGCAAAAGCATTGAAGTAGTCAACATGGGAAAAATCAGAACTTTGTTGGACTCCTTTACACTTATTTTTTGGTTTTGTATTATTTTTATTTACATATGAGGTGAGTTGCTGGGACATCAAAATCTTTTCAATGCTTAAGAGCTCCAAAACTATTAATCCAGCTCTGTATGCATCTTAAATTACCATAAGTTTTATTTATCGTTATTCAGCAAAAAGAATTTTATTTCATGAAAATGATAACACATGTATACCTATACTTTACATGAGTACAATATTCTTCCTTATTACAATGTCTTCTCTTAGCAAGAAACCATAATAAATGCTAGAAAGCAACTCTCATA